GGGAGTTATGTGTTCTATTATGGAAATTCCTATTTGCCACTCTTAACCTGTTTACTACTATAATTCTCTGTCATCTACAAAAAAAAAATATCTTCCAAATTTCAAGGCTATTGTAGGACAATACAACAATGAAATCATTAGAATAGGGTCATTAGCATGAAGTCATCAGGAAGGTTACGATAGAGTTCTGTATTATAAAGACTATCTTGAAATCCTATGCAACTGATTCTCAAAAAAAACCTCTGTTCCGTATCTAAACTCTCACTCCCCTATTATGGGACTCAAAAACTAAACTTCACATTCCTTAAGAGAAGAGACTGTGTGGTTGAGTGGTTCGCATTGTTTCTCTCTCCTCTATCAAAAAATTCAACTTCTTGAACTCTGTAAAAAACGCATATGACAACTTAAATATGGGACGGAGAGAGCATATTCCTTCTCATATTATTTCACATATTATTAGTGCCAATTTTGACATCAACAGTTTACCTTTCCAACAAAATATTATTAGCTTGTTGTGCTCTGTAAGAATTTGTACCCACCATCAAACATGGTTTCTCATCATAACTCAATGCCTACAACAAGACCACCGGAGTCCAAGTCACGCATCTAGATGGCGCCATTCACACGTTAAGAAAATAGTTTGCTTTTTCTCTGACCTACGATGTTCCAAGCATCTGATGACAACATCGCCACCAGACATGCACTTGTCTGGTCTTGGCGAGTCTGGCAGAGGGATCAGAGCTTCTTCAGCCACCAATTGACATCCCATGCGTCACACTAGCCACCTCTCTGTGGTGCAGATTACCTCTTCTAGAGAATTTTCTATGGGTCATTGCTTCTCCATTACACATTTAAAATGGCTACCATTTCATCTAATTTTGTTGTCCTAGGCCAAAATAGTCAAAAGTGTGATTATTGTAATAGCATTGGTCACGCTAAGATGTGCCCGAAGCTACATGTAAGACATCAAAATTCAGTCAACATTGTCCAAATTCTACCATCTATGATTGTGATTTAACCAACAAACTATGATTTAAGGCATTAATAGATCATGATGTATGTTTACGACATGTGTATCAAATATTTACAGCGTATGAAACATTGATTCAGACACTTCTGATCATGTTTTTGGTAATTCTTATATTTTTCCAAATATTTCACTCTTGTTAGTAGTCTACAAACACTAACAACAGGCATAGGACAAGCTCTTGCACGATCATCCTACCATTGCACAAATGCTTATATGTTTTCATAGTCCTTTTAAACATGTGTCTGTTAACAATCTCATTCAATCCCTTAAATATATTGTGATCTTTTGCGATGATTCCTAGTTGATAGCCTATACTTGGTGTTGAATGTGAGTCTCAAAAACTCCATTACCATCTTCCTATCCATGTAGTTGCTTTTGTTTCGTTTTAGTGTGCAGTTCCCCTTAATAAAAACTGGACCACGGGAGTCTTTCCAAACTTTGACATATGGTCCTTGATTCACCCAACTTTTTCTTACTCAAATGACCTCTAAATTGGCACCAAATAGAGGACTAAAATTGATGTGAACGTACCAGCCGATGGCTATTCGGTTGATTTTGAAGCAGAGAACTAAAGGTGGTGAGGCAGACCCCTATAGTCGGAGGAACAAAAATGCCATTGTCCATGTGATTACCACATAATGTGGAAAAGGAGGACAGACAAAGAAATTTGAACATATGGGGAAAATTGTTCACTTAAACCCACAAATTTACCAAATTTACTAACTAAAAAAGACATTGGAGGAAATATATCTTCAATTTTTTTTCGACAAAGAAGTCTTTTTGTGAAAAACTGAAAGTGTATGTTTAGTTGTTCGATGAAAAATCATAAAATTTAGATGTATAAATTTTATACAGGAATGTGTAAATACTCACAAACAAATCAATAAATTATCAATTCCCATCACCCCCTCCAAATGAAGTGAAATGATGATTCCAACATCCTTACTTGTCGCATATTTCTTGAGGTGTGGAATTCTCCTCCAAAGCCTTTGTCTCTGTGGCTGTCCCGTATTCATCCGTGCCACATATGTATATGGCATTGTAGCCTCTGAGTCTACAATACCGAGCAAACACATCCGCACTCAACACGCCTAACACCACAATTACAGAATGGAAAAAAAAACCCTAAAAGTTAAAACAGTTTCATTTTCAGGGAAAGCATCGAAATAGAGAGAATAGATCGAGTTTATTACAGCCGATGATGTTTCCGAGATGAGGAACGTTATTGACGTAAGGCAGCGCACTGGTTATGAGGATATTTCTTTTGCCTGGAATTGGCAATTTGGGAGCTTTCGTGCTATTCTCCTCAGTCATCTCGCAAGCGTTTAGAGCGAAAAACTGTGAGTGAGGCCGCTAGTGGTGGTAACTGCGGCGGCACAAATAAAAACTGCAGAAATTATGGAATTCTGCAGAAAAGGGTTAGAATTTATGAGGAGAATAATGTTAGAGTGTCACGGGTCTACCATGGGTGCACCCATACTTCACACAGACAAACACAGACGATAAGTATGAGTGCATCTATAGTAGCACCCATGTGGTGGCACTCTAGCATGACCTTTTATGAGGATGTCCCCTTTTGGCAAGAAAGAGTTGCATGAGGCGTGTAGCTCTCATTACTCATTAGGTTGAAATGACAAAAATTTCCTTCCAATCAATTAACAAAACCCTTTTCAAACGTCATTGTTTGTGACAGTTACTTAAAAATATAATGAAAATATTAAAATTGGCGATCGATTGTTAAGTTACCGTTGAAAATGGATGTTAATTTTCGAAGGGGTCAAACGCCGTCGCTTGATAACCATGTCGTTCCTTAACCTTTCCGACCTAAGTTCATAAATGATACGCCTTCATTCTTTGAAATTTTTCTACGCTTCGTTCTCTTTGGTTTATTTTGTTGTAGCCAACTCTCGTTTTTTGCATTTTATCATCGGATATATTCGATTGCAACCACGCTTTTGGTCTTTGAAGACATTCAAAGACTAGGGATGTATAATATATTTGTAATATTTTAACTTTCCTCGTGATATATGTTACTCCGTATTATTAATGCATTAAATCTGAAAGTATGGTTGGATTTATTTCAACACACACCTACCATGTCTAATCTTTTATAAAATTCGTTCAATGCAAACTTCTTCTTTGTATTGCACTTTCACAATGTTCAGTTTTATGCCCAAGTATCTCCTCACTATATGTTCAACTCACTTACATACCTTAAGCAATTAATTCTTTTAGAAATATTGCATGTTTTATTGATTTGGGGATCTTTCCAATGCTTATAATAGATTTCTCATCTTTTCGGTGTTTTTCTGGTTAGAGAATAGTTTTTTCCTTGCCAAAATCAGTACGGTCAAATGCTACATTGTACGCAAGGAAACAGAATCACTATGAAAACACTACTTTGTATGTATAGTTTCACATGGAAAGAAAGAGGTAGTCAATCACATGAAAAGGTATTGGCTGATCATCTTGAGCTGTTTAAAAAGAAATGACATAAATCCTTCTAGTGCATAAGGAATCATTCATTCAAATTAAGTTCTCAAAGCATTAACTTCTTTTTTAAACATTAGCATTATTATTCATGTGTATGGAAGTATTGATTAAATTGTTTATGATTGGCTGAAATTAAAATTTAAAAATTAAGGTCGAAACCTGGTTGGGCACATTTGAAGTAATGAAAAACTTGGTCAGAAACTGAATTCGTGCTTCTTAAAAAAAGTTCAAAAATCAAAATAGTGAATCAAAATTATAAACTTCAAGTTCTTATAATAAGAGGAAGCCAATAAAAATAAGCAAATTTAACAATATCTCCTCCCTCCTAAAAAGCTTAGAAGACAAAATCATTTCTACCAATATATTGGAAATGTAATACAAGATTATTATCGAGTTGGTGGGCGTGTACAAACGTTGGTCATGCTTCTCTGAAAAAAGAAATTGACATGGATGCAATGCATAACTTTAACCTAGAAAGCCTCTGACGATTGGTTGGAATGATTCCTCACAACTATGTTGTCCTCATGAGGATTTAGTTCATTTACATCCTTATATATCCCAATAATGAATCCTCAGAACTATGTTATTCCAACAACTTTAATCAAAGCATTGGCAAACATAAAAAGAAAGCGCTTGCAAATATATAAGGGTGACGGAAAAGAACTCCACCAAAAGATTCTGCCCGAGGGGAGCGAATTGAATAATGAAATAAGTATGGTAGTGATAAAATCATAGAGCTTGAGAACAAAAAATGGTGCTGAAATTGAATTAGCTATCTTGAGCCTAAGGATTACAATTTCTTAAGCCACTTTTGATATATACACTACTCCGGCGTAGACATGGAAAGTGATAAAGAAGGTAATTCAATCGGCTCATGATTTCTCTCCGCCATTGACACTAGGCAAAGTAATCTCGTTTTGTGTGTGATTAGACACGGTCAATTATAGGAATAACGGGATCACCTTTGACGGATTAGCTAGCGGGCCAGTCCAAAGCTGATGGACCATTCTTTTATATACACGGGCCTCGCGTGTGTAACGCCCTACAAACCGGCTTAATAATTAGCCAATAATTTGAATAAATAAATATTATTCATTTATTAGGACTCATTATTTTAAAATAATAAATATTGAGATTTTAATCTCATTAGGTGGACTTTAAAAGATAATTTATTTTAATTATAAAAAGATATTTTTAATAATGGGCCTCTCAACATTAATTAATTAAATAAATTAATTAAGGGATGGACCTAGAAGTTTGAGAATAAAGTTTTGAGAAAAATAGTTTGAAGATATAATAAATTTAGTTTTGACTGTTTATTTCCGAAAACGCAATCAGTTTTCCATTCGGGAAAGTTTAGGGGGGAAACACATATCGCTCAGGTCAGAATTTACACAACGGAATGAGATTTAGGGAGGTAACCCCAAAATTCACTTCACACGCCAACCTCCACCCTCATTTACTTCCTTCTTTATTTCCCAATTACATCTCTTTAATATATACCCCTCTCTCTTCCCATCTTCTCCACCATATTTTGGTAACCCTCACCACACAACTATCCAACTCCCTCTCTCTCCCTTGGTTTGACGGACAGAAGTGGCGTAGGCGGAGGACCGGAAGGGTAGGGAGAAGAAGAGAACCAAAAGGAAGAAGAGGAAGAAGGAGGAGGAGGTGCTGATTTTCGAAGCAAAAATCTCGTCAGCCCACTTTGGGCAGTATTTTGACCATCTTCAACTCACTCTTTGGTCATGGTTTCTTCACCAAAGTTGTAGCCTTGCGAGTCGGTGAATCACAGCCGCAAACGGTTTGTCGGTCGGATGAGTAATAAAGGCGATACGGTTGTTTTACCAAAACTGATCCAGTGGCGATGGAAAACGCGAGGTTTGCAACTTCCGCCCCATTCTCATTCCGTCTCATCCAATCCGCTATTCGTTTGGTGCATGCAGACTCTCCACAACCCCTGTAACATATTCACAAGAAGAAACTGAAACTCAAGAAGCTGTTTGGATGTCAGAAGGTTAACGATTTGACGACCGTTCGTTGATGTTGTTGATTCATTCGATTCCTTCTAACGTTGTGTCATATTCGAGGTATGTACACCCTAGATATAACGGAGGAATCTTTAATATATTTATATGCAAAGACGTTTGTTGTGTATATGATTATGTGTGTATTGATGATTTATTCCATGTTGTGTTCTTGATCTTTTAGAGTTCCGTAAGAGAACAATGAGGATTAGGAAACGTTATGAAATTGAATGATTATACAAAGGCTAAACGGATGTTTGACTCAAAAAAAGAATAAGGATTTTCAAATAAAAGTGGTAGGACATTTAGATTATGAAGAATATGGTTAAGCTTGAAAAAATACCATTAGATATCGTAATATCATCATCAGTGGACACGTTTAGGTGTATACGTTTGACATGTGAATGAACAAGTTGGGAAACACCTAGACTACATTTAGACGATTACATGAACACGTTAATCCATGCCTAAATATATGTGTTTTACATGTATGAACTTATGTGTGTTTGTTGTTTTATATGCTCAACTACTTGACATAACCTATGTTGAATCCGTATGATTGTAGTTTTCTCGCTATAAAGATATATGGTATGAAACTCGTTGAAAAAGAAATCATCTAGAAATCCATTTGGAATTTAGAGGAACTCAATATTTAGATATATTTGTAAATCATACATGGTCATTATAATTTTCAAAAGGTTGAACGTAATTTGACAGACCAAGGTAGAACCCGAGGATTGTGATAATAGATTATCAAGTTCTGATAATCTACTATCAGGTGCTGCTAAACTTTGATTAACGATTATCAACAAGTGATAATCGATTATCAGGGGCTGCTGAACTTTGATAATCGATTATCAACAAGTGATAATCGATTATCATGGCCTGCTGAACTTTTAGAAAGATCCGAAATCAAAGTGCTTTCAAGGTAAGAATCAATAATTGAAATATGGATTAGAAACTGAGACTTAGTTTTTAGAACAACGCTTCGGGATCATAAGTCAAACATGCTCACTTAAATCCAAAGGTAGTATACCATTCATAACTGTTATATATAAAGCATTTTTCACATCGATGTTTTGTTAATGACAATGCTTGTTTCTATTTAGTTTTTAATATTGACATACTGTCGCGAAAATGGGACTAAATGAAAAAGATTCAAAGTCATAGCAGAAGCTCTTTGAAGGAACAAAAAGCACAAGAAAGGCATTGATATTCCTAAAGATGACGAGATTGGCGTTTTGAAGACGTTGTCTAAATATTTAGGTTTTTATTGTAACAACCTCTCTCAATTTCTCTAAGTCATGGCTCAAAACAAAATATGTTTTTCATGCATCAAATGAGTGTTTTCATAAATGGTTTTAAGTTTCTAAAACCCCTGGTTCTTGCCCAACCAAAACCATAATCATCGGCTATTGGCGTTCGTATGTGGCGTTCGATTTTCGACATTGGTTATTGGCATTGATTTTAGCCAAATGATTTTTGGGCTTTTATCTTTGGTTTTTTATTATGAACACATTTTAAGGTTTTCAAAATTATTAGTTTTCAAAAACCATAACCTTTGTTTTCCAGCGTTGGTTATCGGCATTCGGTGCTGGTTATCGGCATTGGTTTTTAGCATCCAAATCAATCAAATGGTTTTTAAGATTTTATGATTTTTTTTACTTATAGGCATGTAAAAATAGTTATCCAACCAAAACATATTCAAAACACCTTTCGCTTTTGGTATTTTGGTGTAAACCATGTCAAACGACATATACTTGGCTAACCGTGGTTTTACCTTAATGAAGTGGTTTTTAAATTTTTATACTTGGTTTCTACATAAAATACATTGTATAAGATTTTCCAACACTTGGTTTTCATTTTGGAGAACTTTGGTTTTTGACATCAGTTTTTAGCGTTGGCAGCCAAACCATGGTTCTGGCGAACCAACCCAACATGCATGTAGAAATTCCCAACGGTGATGTTGGTATTT